TGTTACACTTGTGACGATGAGGTTGGGAAGTGAGAGCCATATATGAAGACGTTGTAACCGTATACTGGCATAAGTGGCACCCACTTCCCAACCGTATTGAATTGCGGGGTTCCTTGTGTGTTTGTTGTTCATATTGCTTTGCATCTCTCTCTCTCTCTCTCTCTCTCTCTCTCTCTCTCTCTCTCTCTCTCTCTCTCTCTCTCTCTCTCTCCCCCCCCCCGTACACACACATAGAGACCAATGTTTGGGAACATTCACATTTAAACGTTCTGTATACATTATAAATGTTTTGAGTCATTGACTTGTAACTGAAACGTTGCATATGTCATGTTGCTTTGCAATGATACCCCGTCACAGGTATGAAGGTCTTTCATCGTCCCTGAAGCACTGAGAGGAAAGACACCCACCAGCGCGGATGAGTCAAAGCACTGTGGTGAGGAAAGAAAAGGTAAAATTTCAGCAAAAGTCAAATGAAAGAAGCAAGACATCACCGTTGATTAAGCCTCGTGCGGACCGTGCAGTGGTTTCGGTGCCGCCACAAGTAAATAGGTCTTATGCAAAACGTCGGGACCTGCAAGAGTCGGCTGCCACCTCTCCCGCATTCACGAAGGATCGCATGCGACAGGAACATGCTCCGCCACCTGCGCCAAAGAAAAAGTCATGCGGACAAGGGAGCGAAGGACAACCTCGGAAGAACGTCGGACATGTGAAGAGGAGGAGAACCATTGAGAAAGAATGGGAAGAGAAGGTGACAATCGATCTGAGGGGATCCGAAGGTGTCGAGGCTGTTGAGAGCGAAAAACGAGATGTGTCACGGGACGCAGCAGTTAAGGACCACAGGACCGACAGTGAAGAATATAATGAGACAGAGGACGGTGAAGAAGGTAACACGGGCACATTGAACGAAGAACAATCGTATGGAGAAGATGAGAGCAACGAAGAGGAAGACAGTCACAATGGGTATAACAACACAGAAGATGATGATGACGAGGATGATGATGACGAAGAACCATCCCAAAGCAGTAGGAGGGAAGAAAGGCGTAGCGAGGACAATAGAAAAAAGACGTATCGAAAAACGCAAGGAGGAACAAGTGATAAAGGCAGGGAGGAAAGTAACGCCGACAAAGAGTTAGTTCTGAAGGAGAAGGCAATTGAAGGACGTAAGTAAGCAATGTATGAGAGAAATCAAAACCTCTGACGAAAATGATCAGTTAACATGTTGTTTTGCTTGAACTGTTGTCATCACCTACCGGTAGTGCAAAATGGTAGCGAAATGTTAACCAGTTTTTCGATAACGAAATTTCAAATCTGAGATAGCCTTGAATATGTATGTGCGGTTGTGGTTGTATCTCCTGCCAAACGAATGTATGTGAGTGGCGGATACCAACTTCGAACTTCTGGTTGTTATACACGTTGTTGCATGCCGCCAAATTGTACAAGGAGAGAGACATTGTCAAAACGAGGTGAAAAAGGTCGAGCATTGGGGGGGTGGCATGCGAGACGAATGCGACTTATTCGGAAAAAGGCAAAAAGATAGACTGTTAAGGTCTGTTGCAAAAGCTTTTGTGCACTCGACAGCGAGGGATGCAGCATTCTACCCTTAAGAGAGCGACTTCTTCAATGTGTTGCAGTTGACTGCTAACCTTTTCGGAGAAGATGTGAGGGTAGGATTCGGGAAGTATGTAGAGGACAATGGTGTGCGGTGTATGCTTATAGAGTGCAACCAAATGATGACAACGGTCCGTGGAGAGTTGACTTGGCACTTGAGACACTGGTTTTGGGCAGAGAGAGGTCTCCCGCTCGTACATAGCACGCAGTCGGATCACAATAACACCGTGCGAAACGATATTCGTAGCCAAATAAATAAGGACAAGACGTGGAGAAGGAAGGACGACAACCATGGGGAGCAGAACATTTTAAGAGGGCACTCACAAAAATCTTTCAAATAAGAAGGGATCACGGAAAGCTTGGCGTGACCTTGCAGCAACTAGCGTTTACCGAACTCGTGATTCGCACAGAAATAGAACAGACAAAGAAGTTAAGTAAGGCGTCAGACCAGTTGCTGAAAATGGTCGCTATTAAGAACGACATAGTCAAGACAGCACGGAACCAAGACACAGTTATAAGTTTCTGCATTTTCAAGCTCGACCGCGACACACGTGTGGCAGATGTGGCAGCACAGTACTACAATGCAGGCAACAGAAAGACGAGGAACAGTGCAGTCGACGACAAGGGCAACACAGTACATGACTTTGAATTCGAAGTCTTAGCCCCGCAGACGCAACCGCAAGCTTCATGCGCAGGACCTTGAAAATCTTTCCTTGACTGACACTTTTGTTATTCTGACGGATGAGACATGACTCAAGATCTGGTGGGATTACGTGCTTGCAACTCGTATCACAACGACACGTCTATTGAGAGAGAGAGAGAGAGAGAGAGAGAGAGAGAGAGAGAGAGAGAGAGAGAGATAACGACACACAGAGAGAGAGATACAGTTTTG